TCTTACCTACCAAACTTACTTTACTCGTCGTTAACTATACTACTAACCCTAGCCTAATCTTTATTTTAATTCTTAATATTTAAATCCACTATTAACTAATACTAACTCTATTTCTAAATTACAGTAATACGATTCAGGCACCAATAACAAAACAAAGAACTGATGAAACAATAAAAGAATGAAGGGACAAAACAGTGAAAGGATGAAACGGCGAATAGACGAAACGACAGCACTATAAAAAAACAAAAACAAAACACTACAAATAAAATGGCAGTATAAAAAAAAACAAAGACATAACAAAATTACAATAGAAACCAAGAATAAAGCCAAAGATGATACTAATGATGAAAAAAGGCGACAACACCAACGACGAATAGTGATGTTAAAAAAAAAAAAAGTTGGTTAAAAAAAAAAGATCTGTATATTTATTTTTGTTATGTTGATTTGTGTAACAGAAAAGAGCCGACATGGTTACATAATTTCGAGATAAGATCAGAGATCGATTGATCACATGACCCGGAAAATCTTACCTACATCCTGGATCTGTTCACCAGAAGTATTGTATACGAATGGAAAGGAATACACTCAAAAATCCGATATTTATTCTTTCGAAATAATTAAGTCAGAAGTTTTTACTGGATATCCTCCATATCATGAAATTCCACATAATGAAAATGTTAGATATAAAGCCACAATTCCTTTTTGGATTTGATAAATAAATGCTTAGACGCAGAACCTCAAAACCAACCAACTGCTAGAGAATTAGCTAATTCGCTGAATCATTTTTTTGAAGATTTAAAAATGAAGAAACTGAATTATATAAACAAATTAAAGACTCAGGTAAAAATTTTTCAATTTATATAATAATTCATTGCTATTTCCAGTAATTTATATAATTCAATACAAACTAATTCAACCTTAATTACACATACTCTTTATTAAGGTACCAGGTTTCGTGACAAAATTTTACTACAAACTAACCCGACTACTACTTACCAAGCGGCTAACGATGTTCAAGACGATACAGGAGTAATTATTTATAATACTAATAATTACGATTTACGCACTGACGAAGGTTTTCAGAATTACTTAGAAACAAGAAAAGAACGATGCTACTAATGAAGATAATTCTGCCAAACAAGCTTTATTCAAAGCCCTACTTTAGATACCCAAGGTTCTCAACATGCTGCAGCCATTTTATTGTATTGCTAAAGGTAATGTTGCCTTAGACAGAGAAGGAGTAGGAATAGACTGAACTTCTAATAATGATAAAGTGAAAGCATTCTGTGTTACTACAGTAGAGTGTAAGTTGTGTAAAAAAATTTTTCAGTAATTCATAGTAAAATTCACAACTGTTATTCTAATACAAACTTACATAGGTCAAATGAAAGCAAATCGGACACCACATAATCCAGATATGAACCCGATGTGAAATGCAAATAGGAGACCTTTAAGATACAAAATCAGGTTCGTATAAGCATTCAATACATCAGAATGCAATAGCTCTATAGGTAAATCAATAAAGCTTTATCAATTTACCTATAGAGCTATTGGCATTCTAATGTATTGAACGCTTATACAAACCTGATTTTGTATCTTAAAGGTCTCTTATTTGCGCCAAATATCTGTTTCACATTGGGTTCATATCTGGATTACGTGATGCTGACTGGTGCCTGATTTGCCTTCATTTAGTAATAGTAAAGAATTGGGCATCTAATATTATAATTAAAAAGTTGTAGATCATTCGGAGTATCAAAGAGCAAATTTATATTTAAATTAAAAAAAAAAAATGATTTAATAATTTTTTCCTGCATATTAATGTAAAAATTTTTTTTGTAATTTAGTTCATATTATAAATAAAAGTTTGAATGAAAACTATTAAGCCAATGAGTCTAAACATCTAATAAAGCCTCACTTTATGAATACTAATTGTGATATATAGCTATTATATGATCTTAGACCAATTGAATTGTTGAATTTGTAGATTAGTATAAATTGATGTTTGTATATATAATAATATCAAAAAATCTGCACTTAGCAGATTTACAAATTTGTTAATATAGTTTTGATTAATTATATGATATTAGACACCTTAGTAAAGAAACCATGCAATGCTTATATGATATATTAGTTAAATAAAAATCTAATCATTACCAATCAGCCAATACTTTTAGATATTAGAATACTACTAAACTATAATTTAGAAACTGTTAGACAAATGCAACTTAGTGGG